TTATTTTAATTATTTAATTATTTATTAAATTATGAATAAAATATGAGTTTTGATTTTTTCCAATTATTTTTGATCTATACTGTATCTATTATTATACAAATAAATAAAGAAATGATGTTTACCTACCAAAAAAAGAAAGAATCAGAATATAACAAAGAAATGATTACCTCAGATAAGTTATTCAAATTAGTTAGGTGATCAAAAAAACCAAAAATATATAACTTCAAAATAAATCATATAATTGCAATTAATGAACCAGCATATAATTTCGTAATAGGGAAACAAGACCAAATACAGCTTCTTTCAGAAGCTTTTCTGAATCTTCTTTTAATTTTTTTTTACCTGTGTGTGTTTTCAGGCCCACCCAATACTTCGATAAAAACGACCGCCTTGTTACTCGAATTCCGCATTCCAAGACCATCAGCTTGGTTTATAGGTAAATCAAACTCGGAGAATATCTGCTTCACTTCCCTTATACAATCCGATTCAACTTCGATCCAATGAAATTTGTATTCATTATATACCGATTGAATTGCTTTGAACAGGGGAACGATCCTTTCGACAATATACGTACGCTCACCGATATCTCTTCTTAATGGACCTTTCTTTGTCATAAAATAACTAATCGAATCATTATAAAATAACAAGCATATCAGTAATATTATGATGTCAAAAAATATGGATTCGTGAGTAAACAACACACATACAAATCATAAAGTATGAACTCGCAAATTTGACGGAAATCATGATCTTTTGGACTTGCTTCTGAACTCAAAGGAGACATGATAGCTTTTACAAACTCCTCTTTCGGTGACTAGAATAAAGAGATTTAATATATATATATATATTACTATCTAAAAAGAAATTAATGATAACTTACTGTTAATGCCATTATGAGCCAATTACGAATTATACTAGAGATTTCTTCCGAAGTATGATTGTCTTTTATGATCATTCCTTGATCATTTACATCTATATTTATATGATTTTGTAGATAGGTAACGGATTCCTTGAAAAGCACCGACTTTTGAGGAGTAACCTGTATATTATTGACATTAGGCCTTGGCGGTGGAGTCCCCGGGGTTTGGATGATAGGGTTTGTGACTGTTAAAGTCGATAATTGATCTTGATTTACCAACGTTGGTAAATATTGTGATATTATCACATTGTTAGGATTTATTGCAGGTGCTGGATTATCTTCATTCTTGTTGGTCTGAATTTGCTATAATTGATGAGTTAGTATTCAACGATAAAAAAATATTATCTCCAAAAAAATCTCAATAAATAAATCCAATGTACATACACTACTGCAATAATTTCTATGTCTCACTCTTACTTTTGATTTTGGTTGTTTTCGTTTGCTTGTCTTTTGCTAGATTATGTGTAAAGTCTTAATAATGGTTTATATTATCACTTTTTAACGTCATTTTTACCTTTTTTTTTTAGATTATTGTCCGAATCAGAGGAAGTAGGATTGCTATTTGGTTCATACTAATAACAAAATATATTACTTTGGTCACATAATATTTTTCATATTAAATAATCCATCTGATATCAACTTACATCGGATTCACTCTGTTTTCTTTTATTGGATTCCTCCTGAAAATTACATAGGCGCTTTTCAATATTGATTTATATCTCATCTCTTACACATTGGTGTTAACTTACTTTCTCTTCATGATTCATGTCAGAGAAGTCAGTTTCACTTAAATTGATATCATAATCATCGGATGTACTATCTCCGAGTCTCCTCGTAGAACATTCTCCTTCCTAAAATAAATCGCAAGAGGTATTTTATTCATAATCCGAAGATATATTTCAACTGTATGACTGAAGTGGAAGGTTAAAGATATTTTTTTTTTGTTAAATAAATTTAAGTTATAACCTTATCTGCATGCTTCCGATTTTGTTTCTACAAGAAAACATGACAGAGTAAGTCGATTTGTATTCCTAATCAACATATTAGATCAAAATCGTTTATACCATCTTCTCCTCGACATTGGTAAGCGCCACATCAATGACTTTAGAAGATCTGCGTATGAACTTGCAAGCTACTTCCGCCTATGAATTAAACGATTTCAGTAAAAGGAAGGTTATAAATGAAATATTTGGTAAGCAACAAATCAAACCTCAGCATCATCAATCGTCGTTTCATTCTCAATTTGTTGCCAAAATATGCGAACGTCCTCAAGTTTCGTTCGATGTCTCTGATGCAGCTATGGAGTAAATTAATATTGATATATGTTATAAAGGAAACCATTACAATCGCAAAATAGTGTAGACAGATCACAACGGGAAACCACCATAAAGCAGGTTGAACCCCCTGCCGTAGTTGTGCGAGTATGTACCCCTTCTCAGGACTGCAAATGAGACTCCTACTTCCACAATAACTGTGAAACATGACGGGAAACCACCATAAAGCGAGTTGAACCCCCCGCCGTAGTCATGGAAGTATATTACCCCTTCTCGGGACTTCAGTAGCAAGCCTCACATCTGTCTACAACTCGTGCATCAAAGGAGGAGAAAATAAACACTTGCCTCAAAAGAGTTTTGCAAACGGACGGCGTTCTCTTTGACCTGAGGTGTTCCATCTTTCACCAGTGACATCAAACAACGCCAGAGATTGCCAGACTCTTCTCGAAAAGATCGGGTAAAATCATCTTGCCTCTGGCGGTACTTGTAAAAGTCTATAAACCGAAACTTTTCAGGCGAAGTTTTTTGAAAATATTCCATGGTAAACGCGTATCAATGAAATTGGCAATTTTTCAAAATTTATTTGATAGATCGTATCACGTGATAATCAAACCTGCAATGATAACTTTTGTATTTTCACATAAACACACAATCCGCAAATCTTAAGTTCGTTTTTCAAATTGATGAACTTAGAAAGGAGAATGCTGAAGTCAAGGCTGAGAACACAAGATTGAAGCAATCTATAGAATAAAATGCTATGCTCAAGTTCAGATTCGAAGAACTAGAAAAGAAAAGTAAAATAGATATCACAAAACTTATTGCCGAGAATGCTGAGCTTAAAGATAGAATCACGAAATTGGAACAGAAGTAATAATATATTTCTTTTTTCCGAGAACCAACGAGGAAAAAAAGCCTTTGGCTAAATGTATACCTATTTCGCGATGTTACATATGATCAAGAATCTCGATTCCATATTAGAAAATGTTTAACTACCTCCTATTGCGAGCAATGACCTGAAGGGTCTACATCGTGCATACTAACATCACTTTCGTTTTGAGATGAGGGCATATTTAGCAAATTAGGTGTTAAATTATTGCCGGAGTTAGCTACTTCGTGGCTAGAAACGACATGGCTCTGATTCATTTTTGAAGAATTAGTGTGAGCTAGCCTCTGGCTAATATTCTGCGTTTCATCTGTGGCCTCATAAGGCGGTGGTTGAAGAGTTGATATTTCAGGATTCACCCCATCAGGGTTGTTTGTATTAATGTTGGTATCATCACGAGGATGCTGACCGTCTTCGACTTCTTCGACTTCTTCGACTTCAACAGATGTTCTCTGGCTTCTTCGATTTCATGGTGGCATTTGGCCTAATACATGCTCAACTTCCTCAATAGATGGTGTTGGTGTTATATTTCCCACATCTCTATTTTGCCTACGGTTTGAGGTATTAAGAGTATGGATTCTGTCGAATTCATCTTCAGGCCTCTCCCAGAAATGCGTACGAAACTTATCAAAGTATTGCGCACCTGTTCGACTTCTTCGTGCCCTTCGATTCCCTGCCATATAATCGCACATCAACTAATTGACATGAATTATTAGTCATAATAGTTAAGACGTAAGCAAAAAAAGATCTGGAAAAATTTCTTACGGTGCCATACTTACATTGTAATCCCGAACAATATTCGAAAATTTTTCTTTACATTGGTGTCCATTAAAGCTCGTATTATGTTCTTGATTAATTCTGGTTGCGATGCTATCCCAAAATCTGATTCGATCCCTTCCAAAATTATGATATTCTTCATTTCTATTTCTATGCTCATCAATGAGGATATGTATTTGAGTATCGGCCCATTCAACCATTTTTAGGTTATTTATCCTGACAATGAACATAATGTGAGAAGACGGATTTTGTTACTTTTATAAGTGTATCTTAAGTATGTTAACAGTACTTTGACAATACTTTAACCATACTTTAACCATATAATCGTGATTATAAGCTCTGTTATTGTATAGTTTATTGCTTTTCCAACCACACTTCAACATTGATTCAACTATGTTTTAACGGTATAAATCTATGGACATTCATTTACTTTTTTCACGTAAAAGTAGTATAATTAACTGAATACGTACATGCCTTGGATTTGCATATCTTGGATTTGTCTATCTCGGACCGAGTGATCTCAAATGGTGAATGTCGTACATTCCTCTCACCGGAAAATTAAACATATGCTTGTAATACACCCGAAATAGGTTTTACTTACCCAAAATGTCAATTAATAAACGAGTAAAATTATATACATGATATAGTGCCCCAAGAGAGTAACCTCATGTGATTGCGGGAAAACGATTTATGCCTTTACAGTTACTATTTAGATTGAATATCAAAGTTTTAAAAAAGAAAAATAGAATATGCATCACGTTACTGCGCCAGTGATATCGATGTCACATCTAAATTCATATATTAATAAAGTTATTAAATGACCCGGTTTTTTGTAAGCTTTACTACCATTTATCGTACATCTACATGAAAACGTGTGGTGTCAAAATGAACTAACACCTACCAATTCATTAATTGTTGTCAGTTATCCATTATCTAACAGTTAACCTGCCTAATCGCACGTAAAATAAG